GTCATACAAATTCTCTACGCATTGTTGACGGTAGGACGGGGCGGAAGGGAAAGAACTGACCTGGCTCGATTCCATGCGAGTGAATAGAACACGGATATCTGTTGCTGTTACCCAGTCTTGTAGCACAGGGGATGATTCGAAAAATACCGCAGATGGACGATTCTCCAGAAACGGAAACGCGATTCGATTCGCTCTTGGAGCCAAATTGTGTGAGTTGCTGCACAACGCTTCCTGTAACGCTTTTATGATTATAGCTGAGAGAAAAGTCAAAAATTTCGCCCAAGTATTTATTTAATGGTTAACCATAGAAGGAGGTATGGCCCAGTTGCGTGGTTCAACATCGTGGTTCACAACCAATTAACCTAACCTTAATAGCCTAAATAAGAGTGCTGAGATAAAACCCCATGAAAAAAATGAAAAAAATAAAAGTGAGGTGATTTCCACCTTCGCGATTTTTGATTTCATCGCGTTAGCGCAGTGCCATTTTTACACTTTTTCTTCACCCATAGTAGGAAACGGGAAAGCTAATTGGTAATTAGAACGAACCTGCTCGTTGTGCTTAGTTATGACCACGTCTGGGGCTCTTCCAAATATGGATCGACAATCAGACGAGTAATATTGGAAGGGTATCCATGTTTTTCCGTGATCCGTTGACTTGTACAATGCCATGGAATCAGGCAGACGTGAGCAGAAATACATGGATATGTACGTGAGTTCGAATTTCTTCCCCAGAGACAAAGTAAGCGAAACGTTGTGAGATTTGTACGATGGTTCGGAAACCCAACAAGTCATATTTCCGGGCGAATTAAAATCAGTGATAAGCGATGCAGGATGAGCCTGGGAAGGCTTTGAGGCATCACATATGTCACATGTTTCTCGCACGACGCCATCACTTCCTTCGTTGACCATACAAAATCTGAAAAGAAAGCCATATCGACATTTGGAATTAGTTTTTTTTCTGACACACACACGCACAATTGTTTCGGTTGGGTTAATCCGAAAGGCGAGGCTGTTTGGAATTCCTCTAAGGGCACAATACACAATTGAAGAAGGGCGATTAAGTACCTTGAAGGTCCATTCATTCCACAAGTGCTGGAAGCGATGACTGGCTTACCAAAAGCCGCATTTATAAACTCAGGCACACATCTAACAGGCCTTCCTGTTGATTCGTAGCACGGATCATGATCAGGTTCTCTCATTGAGAACTAAAAATGCAGATTATCAAAAACCCTTCATCAACACCTGTGAAGTAGCGCTCCTTACCTGGGAAAAATATGCGGAGCTGGCTACTCCTAACGAGAGGAGCACGGCCAAGATCATCGAATTTGTTCCGTGTTTGATTGCACTCTGGTAAGATGTTTACATTATTCAAATTGAATTACCCTTGATCAAAGATCTTAAATGGATACTCTAATGAAAACATGATAGAATTTCTGTCATCTGATGAACGAAAATGTGAACGGATATAAAAATAGGCAAGAGTGCCAAAAAAGTTGAAGAACTCTTGGAAAAGTGAGCACTTCATTCTCAAGCTCATGCACGGGTAGGTTTGAGTTGAAAATTACCTACGATAAACATGATAATTACCGATACCACTATAAGTAAGCAGTGACTGTGATAAAAGAAGTCACAAGCAGACATGAGGACGAAGCGGATTGTAACGGGGAAGGACGAAGGCTGACCCCGCCTCCTCTCTTCATACGGTAGGTGGCAGCAGATTGGCATCACATCTATCTAGTGCTAAACTGGATCCAACCATGTTTCGAACCAACTTGCACGCGAATTTCCCTATGCACACATGAATTGGTTTCTTAGAAGGCTACAATAATAATTTACCTTTTATGAAAGTTGAAGAAAGTTCAAAACAAATCCAGTTTTTTACAATTATACATTCAACTTTGACCCTCAGACTGTGTCTTTTTTATCGAATGAAGCCGTGACTGTATTCAACAACCAGCGGCGAGTAATCAATCCGAAAGGTTTGACCCGAGTTCGACTCCCGGCCTATGCGCGTGTGTTGGCGGCCTCTACTGCCACCACACCACCCAGCCTGGATGGAAATTAGGACTTAAGCGGCTCCCTTACGATGAAATCCTGTTTTCACTGACATACACAACCGTGGAAAAAGGATGGTAATCGACCCGACCAAATATAGCCCGAGAGAAGCATTGCAACACTAAGCGGAAGCTCCTCAAGACCAGCGGCTCCTGCTCCTCTAGGCACAAATCGGATTCCTCGGAGTCACTGTCCTCATGCGCACAATCGTGCTTTCCCATTTCCGCTGCAATCACAGAGTTGTGAAGGTTTAAGCCGGTGAACGGTGATTCCGAATCTCCTTCAGATTCATTCGAAGCTCATATCCTCAAAATGTCCTCATCTGTCATCAAGTTTCTCCTTCTCATGTTGCACCGCATACAAGTTAGAAAGCAGGCAGGCACTCCAACTAGTAGCACAATTATCACAAACAAGTGAAACTTTCGGAATTACTCCTTTCGAGAATCGTACACTAATCAATGTAAGTATGCGCTGGAAGTTGTTCGAGTTACCAACCTCAGATAAATTGTGGCGCCAGAGAACAGAATGTAAGGACTCTTTTTAGGTACAGCTGAGCTCTCGAATGGGCGCGTCTGTTCCAAAAAAAATTTCGTCCATTAATTGTGTGCCATATGTGTCCCACCAGGAGTCTAAAGATTACAGTGGGATATCCTTCCGATAAACCATTTCCAACTGGCTGATAATTTTGTGCTTTGCAAAAGGTCATTGTTGTTTGATGTTCCTCATAGCTACTCAAGGACGAACTGGCGTAGGGTGAAGTGGCGCTGCTTACCATGCGCGCGGTCCGGGGATCAAATCCTCCGTCACACGTCCTCCAGGCCAACCAAGCTTCCATGCAGGGTCAACCGTCCGTTCGAACTGTTCGAACGGGGGGGGGGGGGGTCGCATTTGTGTTTCTGGAGGGGAGAGGGTCGCATTGCGCAGTTCTGCTGGTTACGTTTGGTCATCAGGGGCGCAGGGCATAGGTGCGTGCGAAAAAAGTTGCCGTTTCACTGGTTGTATATACCCCCCCCCTCGACGGCTATTTTTGGGGAAAAAGTGGGTGGAGTTTCGGAGTTTTAGGTAGGTTTTGGGCTGTGTCAACTGGTCTCAGAATCAAATACTATAGAAGAGGGAGAGGTCGCGGTGGGGGAAGGCTGGTTGTATTGGGGGGTCGCAACTGGACCCTCTCGAGAGGGGGTCGCAAAAATCCCGAAAATGTTCGAACGTGACGGTTGACCCTGCTTCCATCCCTTCGGAATCGGTTCATTGTAACCAGACTTGCCGGGTGGGGTAAGGCCCCTGAAGGGCCGCCGGATGGGACGAATCGCATTCAAAGTGCCACTACGATTCAGAAAGGAAGCAGAGAGCATGGCGCGACCAAAGAGGAATTGATTGAATTACTCCTTCCTTTATCTTTTTTATGCTCAACGATCACGATGAAGTAGTACTGTGCATGAATATGGAAGACGTCCATGTCTCACATATTCGGAGCTCGTTTGTGGCACACCGTGAAGCGGAATAATACATATTTCCTTTATAGGATCGTTAGCACTGGATGTGGATGGAGACGCCAAGGCTGCCATATTCTGTTGCGGATTGAACCTCTAGCGCAGACCTTTGTCAAACAAAAACATTTCAGACAATTAAACGAATTACTAGAGAATAAGTAGGAATAAATGAGTAATGAACCGTAACTGATGAAAATTTTCAAAAATCTTTAAATATTGAATAAATTCAGGATTTGCGGCGTATTAATGAATAGCTCTCGCAGATTCATTACTTTCTGTATATACTTGAATAAACTAGCAAATCATTTCCAACTTCAGACACTTGCAAGTCTAGACATGCAGAAATGTTGAAATGCTCATTTCCGAGCAATGCTGTCTGCTGACAACTTCTGTCCGAAAAGCGTTTCCTCTCATGAAGATGGAACGCCTACCAAAGGATCAATGAGCTCTCGAAACTTGTGTCCCATGCGTGATTACGGGACGTAATTTCCGTTGTTCAGATTCAATAGATGATAACGACGGGGTTGTCAACAGTCGACGCCATAAGCCCTGCGGAGCAGCGAGCAGTTCATTCTGCCCAACCAATCTGCATCTCAATCAGTCGCAGTCAGCGCATAAGGATCAAATCTCGCACTTGTTTTGATGGGTTACAGTGACTGTTGTGAGAAATCAGATTATTTTAAAGGGTCTCATCCAGTAAGGGGGGCATGTGGTGCGACAGTTCATATTGCATGAAGTAATCCACTTTTTCAGGGAGGGAAGCTCCGGGGTGGGTGTAAAAGTTTGAAGCGAAATGGTTCACGCACCCCGGGGATGGGATGATTGATGATGATGATGGATGGAAAAATTGGAA